AGTACCCATAAACCTCCCTCTCGGCTCAAGTAACAGAAATGGGAGAATAGGCAAATGAGAGAGGCTGGTTTTACTTTTAGACCATTTTGGACAACCCAGTGACGACTACTGCTGGATGCCTCCTGGCCCTGGGGATGTGGACATGAACACACAGATCCAGATTTGGGGGAGTACGAGGGAAGTTGGGGAAAAGGTGGGGCAGAGGCACCTGCCCAACAAACAGGTGTCCAAGGGCTGTGTTAGAAGTCAGTACAAGGCTAGGCTGGGAGGGATGGTGGACACAGGGAAGGACTGGCCAATTTCAACAGAGGAGGTGACCCCTTGGCCTCTCAGGCTTTCCTGGGATGGAGCGGGGAAAGAAAGAACATGGGTGGGAGGAGAGTTAAAGAAATGACATGGAGGTGTTAGAAGAACACCTGAAATGATGAGGTTTCTCTTATTTGAATTCCCAACCAGGAACTTCTTAGCTTTTTATTTGACTTCTGCTAAATATTTCCCTTTCTTAAGCATATAATTAATTTCTATTTAGAATATCATTTGTGTAGAACAGATAGAATCATTCAGGGGACTCGGTACAAATATAAGGCAGGCACGCTAGTTGTTGACTTCTGAACCGCTGGAGCCTCTGATAGATTTACTAGGAAGTTTATTTTTCACTCCAGTGATTAATACTTCATTAAAACCTTCTTAGTGTGAACAGGCAAAATTACCTGCTATGTCCAATTGTCTTATTTCTATTCCATGAACTATGGACCTGGAGATATTTGATCTTTCCTTGGGATGGGCCCTCCCTCGCCCTACGAAGCCGGTACCATCTGCCTTTCTACTTCATGGCTTTCCTGGGTGCCAGAGGTATTCTTGAGACTCTCCATGTGGAGCTTACTGAAGTGAGCTAGGGAATTCAGATTTATCAGGGTTCAAGAATGCTTATTTAAGGAGTACACCTTTGGGGATATTTTGAATCAGATTATGTGGATACCAACTTTGGAGAAACCCCTGGCCCTGAACTAACAAAAGGAATGAGAAGAATTTTTAAATCCCATTCATCACTCTGACACAGTAGCTACAAAGATGTATTTGCATTTGAATCGGCCCCTACAATCAGGGGTTAAGAGCAGGGGATGTGAGAAACCTAGTAACGAGTGCCCTCTAAAGCTCTCTCTGAGCAAGTCCAACTGAGAACAGAGTTCAGGTTCTTCACAGGTATCACAGTTACAAGGATGTATGACTGGGAAGGTGCCATGTTGTCCACAAGGACTCAGGGCCACAAACGAGCACAGAAGAGCAAACTGAAGCCTTCCTGCTGTGTCCCTAGTTCTCCAACTCTTCACCCGGCCTTGGGTTACCCCGTTGGTCAGCCCCCCAGAAAGAGTGAGGTACAAGGAGCTACTTCTGGCCTGCCAGTTCAGCACATTACTTCCTTTTTCTCTTCACTATGTTTGAGAGTGTTTTCCATCATCTGAAGAACCCCCTTTAGCTGAAGTTATATGCATATTTAAAGGGAGAAAGACAACTTGTTACATACAGCTGCTAACTTAAGACACCCAAATAATTTTAAGAGTCTTGGGGCGGGGGGTCTGGTAAATGGCAGCCCACAGGCCCATGACTGTTTTTGGACTCCAGCCATACTCATTTACACACTGTTCAGGGCCACTTTCCTGCTACAATAGCACGGTAGTTGTAATAGACACTGTATGGCTCACAAAGCCTATAGTATTTACAGTTTAGCTCTTTAGAGAAAAAGTTTGCCTACTTCTGGACCACACCAAAGTATCCCTATCTGAGAAGGGTAAATATAAATATATATGTGTATGTGTATATGTACTTACATATGTTATCTGTACACAGAACATATGCACAGATACATATACACCCACACATACATCACACACATTATACAGATACATCTATACACATGTACATACATTATACAGATATGTACACAGCTACATTATACAGATACACACACGTACATACGCACATTATACAGATACACATACGCACACATAGATACATTATACGGATACATACACACACATATATACACACATATTGGATTGTTCTCAAGAAAATAAGTCACCCCAATAAGATATTATGAGCAGCTTTCTCTTCAACCTTTTAAAACATCCTGTGTCCCCAGTATCACACTCAGGCCACACCAAATATAATGGGTTACAAATATTCAGATTTTATTATAAATAAAATACTGGTTTGTTTTTTTTTAACATAAAAAAAATGCCAAGTGTTGCATTTTATTTACCACCCTGGAGAGCAAGACTGTAGAGATTAAGGCAAACAGCTAAAGTGAAGGCACATATAAAAGGGCCACAGTTGGAATTAGAAGGAACAATTCCAGGGAACAGCTGTCTGTGTCCCCTGTGACACCCAGCATTCCGCAGCAGCCACCCTGTCGATTTTATGATGTAAAATACAGATAACTGGAACTATACAATAAAATCATGTATACCGCAGGAGTGTAATGAAGGTATCGCCTTATAAAGAGCTTTTATTTTAAAAATAAAATTCTGTTTAAAAATATACTACACAGATGGAGGAGGAAAGCAACAAAACAAAATGAAGAAAAAAACAAAAACCCAATTTTCACTGTGGCCTAAGACTTACTGGTGTGTGAGGCTGACCCATGGGCCAGAGGGAAACTATCTCGGCAGTCTATCTACAGTCATTGTCCTGTAACCTTGAACAAAATGTCTCTGTTAGGATGTGGCCACTTAATAAGAGGAGCTGGCTAGGGAACACTGATGTGAAAACTTGGCAAGAAAGACCCGCGCCTTGGGCCACAGTAGGAGAGGCCGGGGAGAAGCAGCAGAGGGAAAGCGAGGGGTATGCCAAGTCGAAACGCTTGTAGTCAACTCCGGTATGCACGGAGGCGGAAAGGGGAGAACGGACTGGCATGACTGCTCCCATCCTACCTGTCTGTGCACACTGTCCCTGATGCCCTACGAGCACTCAGTGATCGTGCACTCCCTTATCAAAATGACCCATCTGGTTCAAAGTGTCAGGGCATTCCTAGCTCGTTCCTGGCTTGACCCACATCGATGTTGAAGATACCAATGGGCAAAATGTCCTAATCCCACCATGTTCTGTCAACCTGACATACCTGCCCTGGAGCGGGCATTAGGAACGACAGCATGCCGCAGTTTAAGGTCACAGGATTGCAGTGGAAGAGGGTGTGAGGTACCTCTTTTGAGCGGCTGCGTGTGGCAGGAAAGCAGGTCAATATCGACATTAGGAAATGAAGATGCTGCAAACACAAGGCGAGCAGAGCCACGGGGAACAAATGCAACGCAAAGAATTGCAGGCGGCAGGGCAGGAGGTATCCGGACACATTGTGCCAGTGAGGAGGAAAAATGGAGGGAAGAAGTGAACAGACAGTGCCATTCTAGGAATAGGACCAAGTATATTTACATAAATTCCTTACTCTATAATCATGATAAACAAAAAAAAAAAA